TGGTTGGGATTGGGGTGAACTGGGGGACACAGTTAACACACCCTCTCCCACCAGCAACAATTGTGAAGATGTTGAAGGACAACGGGATCCAAAAGGTCAAGCTTTTCGATGCCGATTCGGATATTCTGAATGCTTTGAGCAAGTCTGGGATTCAGGTGATGGTTGGGATTCCAAATGAGATGCTGTATTCTTTGGCTAACAGTAAGCAGGCAGCTGAGAAATGGGTTTCCAAGAATGTCTCCTCACATGTCTCCAATGGTGTGGATATTAGGTAAATTCTCTCTCTAATAGAACATGTGATTTAAATTGGGTTTCTTCAATTGGAGTTACATAGAAATGTGCAGCTATGCATATAATTGATCTAATAGAATAGTGAGAAGCCTGAACATTAGCGCAGTTTGATAATAATTTCGTTTTTAGTTTTCAATTTTTATGCTAAATAGAGGAAAAGTACGTGGTTATCAAAAGGCCCGTAGATTCTTTTCCGGTACCCAAATCTTAGTTTATGAATGCTTATAAGATAGTTTCCTTGGTTTTTGCCTCTATGCAAATGAATCCATTAGAGAGGTGTGTGTGTGATCTTATTGGTTCTAGGAAATCAACTTCTTGATGAGCTGCTATGTAATTCATTCTTCGTGATCGAAAGATGATATGGGGAAGCTAGAAGCCTAGAGCCTTTTTCACGCTATCAGCCATCATCTCATCCCGCTAGAACCTTGCCTGACCTGTCCTTTGGTTTTAGAGTTCGAATTTATTTTGACTAGTATTTCCAGCAATGTGGTTCGGTTCAGTTGCATCTCTGATGCTTTTCAGTGAAATGAACAATTATTAGAAAAGTAGGACTTCTGTTTAGTAGCAGAGTGGTTTGCAACGCTTGAGCCACCACTCTCTAGTGTTAAACTCACCTATTTAGGAGTTTCTCATTGACTTTCCACAGGGATCCCCTTAGTTTTAAAGGTTTGAACCTCCTTGCAATAGCTAGTTGGAGCATCTCTCTACAAAACTGCATATTGCGGTATACCACCCCTGTCATTCCAAGGTTATTTCAATTGAATGTTTCAGTACTCAGGTGATGATGCTTCATCCTTCTGCCTTGTTTAAGTACATTTCAGGTGGTGGTTTTTAGTTGAAAGTCGATTTTATCATTAGATGGCTTTGTAAATAAAGCCCTTTTTTAGCTGTTTTGAATTAGTCTTCACTGTAAATAGTCAAGAGAAAGCCACATCCATCTAACAAAGTACAATCATGCTGCAGCGCAGGAAATAACGTTCATGAAATTTGAATAACAATGCCTACAGCATGAAACATTTCCGATCGGTTATAGTCTCGTACAAATTTAAATATGAACCCCTTTCTATTAATTTAGATTCTGTTATATAGCATTCTAATCATAATCTATTAGCTATATTGAAATTGAACTGAAGAATAATAGTGGCAGACATTCTCTAAATTTCATGATCAGGAAAAACTGTTCCAGAAGGTGGGGATGCGAACCTTTTCCGTTCTTAGTTGTTACTGTTTTTTCTTATCATATCAGCCTTTCCGGTTATAACTAAATGTTTTACGTCTAGTTTATCTCTCGAGATCTTACCTGTTTCATACATTCTCTGCAAGGTATGCGGCAGTGGGGAATGAACCATTGTTGTCAACATACAATGGAACCTATATTCCAACAATATTTCCTGCCCTTCAGAATATTCAGTCAGCTCTCATAAAAGCTGGTGTGAGCAATCAGGTTAAGGTCACGATTCCCCTCAACGCTGACATCTATGACAGCAGTGGCTCAGACCTACCTTCTAATGGAGACTTCCGACCAGACACCAAGGATCTCGTGGTGGAAATTGTCAAGTTCTTGAGCGACAACGGTGCTGCATTCACCGTCAATATCTATCCCTTCATAAGCCTCTACAATGATCCCAGTTTCCCTGCGGATTACGCCTTCTTCAATGGATACTCAAGTCCCATTAACGACAATGGAAGAATCTACAACAATGTATTTGATGCAAACCACGACACCCTTGTATGGGCATTGCAGAAGAACGGATTTGGAAACTTGTCCATAATTGTTGGAGAGATCGGTTGGCCTACAGATGGGGACCGCAATGCAAATTTACAGTATGCCCAGCGGTTCAACCAAGGGTTTATGTCCCATATCAAGAACAACGCAGGGACTCCAATGAGAAGCGGCCCTGTGGACGCCTACTTATTTAGCCTCATCGATGAAGATGCCAAGAGCATTCAGCCGGGTAACTTTGAACGCCATTGGGGGCTGTTTTACTATGACGGAACCCCCAAGTATCAGCTCAGTCTAGGAACTACGGGCTCGAATGGATTAATAGGAGCAAGCGGCGTACAATATCTGGAAAAGAAATGGTGTGTCATGTCGCCCTCGGCAAGTCTTGATGATCCAGAAGTGGCGCTAAGCGTGAGCTACGCTTGTTCAAATGCTGATTGCACCAGTCTTGGATATGGAACTTCATGTGGAGATTTGGATGCTCGCGGCAACATTTCATACGCATTTAACAGTTACTATCAAATGAATGATCAGCTGGATACTGCCTGCAAGTTTCCAAACCTTTCGACTACCACCACGAGTGATCCATCTACTGGAAACTGCAAATTTAGTATCATGATCCGATCATCTTATTCGTCTAGTGTGAACGGCAGAGCTGGCTCCCTTGAAAAGCCTAGTTATTTAGGATTGGTGGTGTTTGTGTTTATGTTCCTGTATACAGTTCTGTGATTTTTTTTTTTTTTTGGGAGGGATTTTTGTATATTATTGGTGTAAAATAATATATACACTACTCAGGATTGTCAAGCACAGTTGGGGCTGAATGAACTCATATTTGTGTAGCACTAATCAGTCAATATACACAACAAATTGAAGTCTCCGTTTTCTGTCATCAACCCTAAACCCTGAACAAATCACACTCGATCTTTAATTTTCGTCGAAATGATCTAAATTGACCATTTTACCTTTTAAATAGGCGAATTTATTTGGAAATGTGACAGAGAGTAACTAAAATGTCATGCGTTACACTACGTACTTTGTATTTAGATCTTCAAATTAGCTAGTTAGCATAGCTCATGTCACTCTTCATCCAATTAGCCTAGGGTTTTAAGTGCCATTTGCTCTTTCATAAGGTCGGAGATTTGGAGGGGGTGGGTTTGGTATATTTGAGTTCTCGTATATAATCCTAAATTGTAAAGTAACGGCTTAAAATCAAAATACGTTTCACTTAGACTATCTCCAATAAAAAAATATTTGGTCAAATCAACCCTCAAGAGGAGAAGGTCTTAAGTGTGGTCATCGTTGATGTGGGCCTCTTCATTTTGTGTGAGAGAGGTGAGACACAATAATGTCAGGTTTTGAGTGGAAAAATCAGTGGGTGGTGGTGGGGTAGGGGTGTTTTTGTTTGTGTGGCCGTGTGGCCATCTGACATGCAACTACAATAAATTTGGGGGTGTGATATCCACACATCTCATTTTACTTCTTACAAATTTTTTTAATTTTCGGTCGTCGGATCGAATGAATTGAAGAAGATCAACAGACATAAATTATCAAGGGGTGTGTGGATAGCACACCCCTAAATTTGAACAAATGAAATGTTTAAAGGAAGCGAACGCTAAAAAAAATCAAAAGAGAAGTCTTTTTTTTTTTTTAACTAGTTGCATGCCAGTCCATTAACATTAAACAAGTACTCGTAGCCTTCGGTGTTGTGAGTGATCACAGAGTAGTCGTTTAATGTTAATGGACTGGCATGCAGCTATACAGCCAAAAAACAGACTTCCCTTTTGGTTTTTTTACCTTTTGCTTCCTTTAAACATTTCGTTCAAATTTACCATTATAAATTCAGCCAAACCCAAAGATAACCCCTGACCGCCACCTCTTTCATTCACCAAAGGTTACACTCTCTCTCTCTCTCTCTCTCTCTCTCTCTCTCTCTCTCCATATTTTCTGCTTTTGGTTTAGCAACTAGAGCTTGCTCTTAGAAGTGTGATTAGGGTTTATATATTTTCTACCACTGGTTTGATATTGTTGTGTTTTGAAAAAAAAAACTGTTTTTGTTGTGCTGTGAGGACTGTTCTAAAAATCCCCGCCTAACACCGCCTAGGCACTAGGCGGCTGAGCACCGCCCCGATTAATGTCTAGGCGTTTGAAAATTAAGAAATGGCACATAGACCTACTGAGGCGTCCGCCTAGACCTCCTAGGCACCTGCCTAGGTCACAAATCATTTAGACAAAAAATAGATAAATTTCATTTTGCATTTTATTTTTTTCATAAATTGTAAGAGACTTATTGCATACTTAAATGAACACACATTATATCTTTGTTCTCCATGTTTTTATTATATTCAAGTACTTCATAATATATATGTCATTCAATTTTGTAGTATATGGGGAAATTATATATATTTAAAGTGTAAACAGACACTTATTTACACGAAATATAATAGATTTACTTAAATCCACCTAGTCCACCTAAGCTCTGCCTAGCCACCTAGGCGCTAGGCCCCAGCCTACCGCCCGACTAGCGCCTAGCGTTTTTTAGAACATTGACTGTGAGAATAAACTCATTTTTGTTGCTTCACGTTTTCAACTTTTTTTCACCCAAAACTGTGAAAATAAACTGTTTTTAAGTGTTTACCAAACTCCTTTTTGAGCTCAGCTTTTTCTTATACCACTTTTTATAAAAACACCTCAGTACTAAACCAGTACTAAATATGTAACATCCCACATCGCCCAGGAAAATGATCCTTAAATATATATTCTCATCCCTACCTAGCACGAGACCTTTTGGGAGCTCACTTACTTTGGGTTCCATCGGAACTCTGAAGTTAAGCGAGTAACGCACGAGAGCACTCCCAGGATAAGTGACCCACTGGGAAGTTGCTCGTGAGTTCCCAAAAATAAAACCGTGAGGGAATGGTAAGCTCAAAGCGGACAATATCGTGCTACGGTGGTGAAATGGATCCGGGATGTGGTGGACCCCGGGCCGGGATGTGACAAAATGCATGCATATCATGTCTATTTTTGTGTGTATACATATGTGTACGCATGTGTTTGTGTTTTTATATCGACCGATCATAGTAGGGTATTCGGTTTTTTCGCTCTTAGCTTATTCGTCAATCACTTATTTAGAGATTTCAGCTCTAGTAATCAAATTTTTACAGCTAGTTTAGCGTTGTACTAGCGTTATACAAGATGACGAAAATGTTGACGATGATGTCGTCTGGAGAATAGCTGCAGCCAAAAGCGCAAGCACAGAAAGGACGATAGAGGAGGTGCTGAAGTATGTTAAGCCGTCAGTGCAGTCCGGGACCTCCGTACTGTCCAAGTTGTCTACAAAACTTCTCAACTGTCACCCCTCCTTGTCCCGACGTTGATTGGACTTCGTCGAATTCGGATACTTGATTGCACGTCATGGACTTCAGAACGTTGTCTTCAAGTGTAGATGGCGATGTGGATCTCTTGGAAAGCCTGGTGGTGTAACCAGGGCACTTACCATATTTCAAAACTCAATCTTTGGATGTTCTCGTTTGATGCTTCCGAAGATAGTCTCTAGATCTTATATCAGCCTGCATCAACATCAGAAGGATCAGCTAAAGCTTGAATATAATTTCCCAAACATAACATGAACTAATGAAATAATACAATCGAACTCGGTGGTTCTAAAAAATGACGAACAAAACTTTTTAGCGAACAAGCGAACTAGAACACATCTTTGTCATTAGTTTGTGGTAAATTAAGTGGTCTATTTACCGACAAAAACAATCACCTTTCTGAAAGAAAAAAGAAATTATGAACAACCTCACAACATAACGAAAGCCACATTGAGATTTTCTGGACCAATTGCGGAATTAGAAGAGATTATCTGCATACAAATGTATATTGTTGTTTAAAAAAATAAGCTTATTCTAGGTGTTGTAACCATAATATAAGGTTGTCCTCACCACAGAATCTGCTCTACAAGCAGCTTTTTATGTCCAGCATATTAGTAAGAAACAGGAAGTAGTGAATATGGAAACACTGAAAACATTCCAAGAGTTCCGGTTTTCACCTGCCGGATAGGCTCAGGGACACGAAATTTGCAAGTCATTTTCACAATTCTGGTGGCAGTATCAAGTGATATACGGTGACCAGTTGAAATAAATATAGGTTTCAATGAGCCACCTGTAGATCTTGCTGCCTGAAAAACAGAAAGAGAATGCCGTTTCAGTTTTATTGAATCGATTGAAACTGAGAACACAAGGCAAAGTGCGAAAATAGTTCCAGCAAAGGCACTCTACTTTTTAATCAAAGTGTCTGTGATTGTTCAGATAAACTAAAATGTTACAAACCAAAAACCAAAATGATAAGGATCTTCAAGTTCCCTGTACTACACTCCAACCGCTCAAGATTCCCATCACAGTTTAAATACCATAGCAGATCAAATTTTAATAAAAAATTTAACAGTTATTAGAGGAGAAATAGAGCTTATATAATGCTTACCGCTCCCCATGTACGGCCTGAACATCCTTTCAAAGTAATAAAACCTTCAGCACTGTCTTCTTGGGCTTCAAGAAGCTGCTTCACTCCGGATAGTGTTAGACCATCCACATGATGAAGCTGAAATACGGTACTTTGTCACAACTCATGAATTCAATTTATATCAAGAGAAATTTCTCAAAGTTAGACATGCAGAGAAAGCCCAGATTATGAAAGGTATGGATGTAATATAATTTTTACTATCAGTATTACATTTTTTCCGATCCCAATAGTAGGTAGATTTGCCAGAATGCCAAGATGACAAGCCAAGCCAAAACCTACAAAACAAACTCTACCCTTTTTAAAAAAATCTCGAGTTGAGTGAGGGGCCAACTGCTCTCAATCAACCAAAGGTAAAGACAGAACTCTAACAGATTGTATCGTCTAAGTTACGAAAAATTGAACTAACAGGTTCTAAATGAAGTGAGCAAAAGATTCACTAGGCCTAAAAGTGTGCCCAAACCATATTTTCAGCAATTTCAGACCATCATTCCCCCCATAGGTCTCAAATCACATTTGAAAGCAGAAATATATAAATAAGAAAAAGCGGTGATTTAGCTTTCATTTGAAAAGGGTAAGCATATAGTCCACGGGGATTTTTGTCGAAGGACTTGCCTCGAGGATGAAGTATTCCGTTTCCATCAACCATTAGAAGCTGTTAACATTAAGAATAAACATTGTTATTTACCCAAATTGTAAGGTACCAACTTGCCAGATTTGGCATAAAGTTAAAAGACATTGATATGTAAAAATGAAAAACCAGAATCAAATATTAAACCTTACTGATAAACTCTTAAGCAATTCTAAACAAGTTCAAATATCTAACATTATAACGAATTCGTGTAGCCAGAGAATGCAAGGGCAACGGTCACCTGTGGGTAGAAAGGACTATTGTTGTTTTTCATTTTCTCCAAAAGCTCAAGCAACACTGGGGCCTAATCAATACAAACAATCAAATACATCAAACAACCAAAACGCTTACATCAATCAATAGGGATGCAAAACTCATGACATGGAAAAAAATGTAATGCATTTTTCCTTTTTGACAATACGATATTCTAAACTAGGGGAAGGCGGATTCGAACTCGCGAAAACCTATAACATGAAAATTGGACCTCTCTGAAGGCAAGGAAGCCAGGAACATAAGGCACATTGGGAATGACAACACAGAAGTCTTGATACACAACTTGGAGAGTTTTGAGCTCCAAAACCACAAGAATTCCACATGCCATTGATGGGTTTTCTTTTGAATAGCTTATATCAACCCCTCCCACATACTTCAACAGCTCCTCTCTCTCCTCCTCTTTCTCCTCCTCTCTCTCCATTGACCTTGAGTTTGACTTTGAATCTAATCTCCATGAGAAATCATCTTCTGCAATCAATTTTTGCTTCAGCAAATCTTGGGCCCTGAAATTTTCAATTGTGTTAGAAAATTGGCATGCAAAAATTGAGAAATGTGGAGAATTTGTGATGACTGATGAGTTTTGCTGCTCTTCAGCTTACTCTGTCCAAGCTTTGTGGTCGACAGACGAAGAAGAAGGTGACAGCTTTTCCATTTGGATTCTGAAACGCTGCGTTTATTGGTTTATGGGTGGAAATCGGAGCATGGATGGATGATTATCTTGAAGACGGCGCGGGAAGAGGGCGGGTGGCGGTAACACCCGACGGATCCTTTTGTGGCCCGTTTGTATTTGAACTACTTCGAAAATTGGGCTGGCTATCACACCCAAAACCAAAACCCTAATTTTTTTCCATTCGATTTTGAAAAAGTCATGCAGCAAAGCTTATAAAATTTTGTTTTTCTCAAGGCAAAATTTTTTTTTATCCAAGCTATATAATATATTGTATCTAAATTACAGAGATAAAGATTTAAATTTGAGTGCAGAAAGAATATACATATTGTCTATCTACCAGCTTAACTATTTTTAGATCGCCTTAACTAAATCCAAGTCTTTCATTACTGTTTGCTTGCTTCGAACAAATTATTTCTTTACAGTATTCTAACATTATAAATTCAACCTAACTACTGATATGAATGTCACATCAGAATATTACCATTTTTAGTCTTTTATTGACAAATTTGACGGAAAATGGCATAATTAATCAAAATTGGAGTTCGGGTGTAAAATAGAGAAATTTGAATTTTAAAGGACAAAGTATAGTTTTGGGCGTAGCAAAAACTCGGCCGTGAAGAAATAATTCGACCAAAGACAACACTTGGGTGGATCTAACTAAGAGGCTTGGCATGCCATTAGCATATCATTGGCATGACATGGTCAATATTTGACATGCCAATGTCGACATTTTGCAGGCTTGACATGTCATTAGCATACCATGGTCGACATTTTGCGAGGCTTGGCATGACATTGGCATAGCATCGGCATGCCATGATGGACATTTTGCGAGGCATGGCATGACATGGTCGACATTTTGCAAGGCTTGGACTACTGATATAACTGTCACATCATAGTATTCTAACATTATAAATTTGACCAAAGACAACACTTGGGTCCTCACTAAGGAGAGATTTTTCAATGTGATCAGCACATTAAGTGGTACACCACGTGTTACTATACAAATAATGGAATATATGTGTTAAAAAAATTAACAACTTAAACAATAAAATTTCTCACCATTTACATAAAAACACGTGGTGTACCACTCTTGTTCTTGTCACAATAAAAAATTTCTCCTCACTAAGGAGGATCCACTTTTTACTAGCTATGATGTCGCCCAATAAAATTAAAACATGTGTCCAACTTTTCATTATTTAATTAGCAACCAAACACCCCGTTATTTAAGTAAGCCATGCATCCAAACATCCCACATATTCCTTTCGTCTCCAACCATCCTCTCCCCACGCCATGGCTGCCAGTGCTCTCATCATCACTGCCCCATTTCAAACATAAGAACAAACAAAAACAATTATCTAGCAATAATTTACCCATTTGAAAACCCTTTCTTTTTTTCTTTTTTTCTTTTTTTCAAATCTGAACAAACAACCAAATTTCACTGCGACCCACCACTAATCCTTCTTTTCTCTAGCAACCCACCACCAATCATTCTCCCTTCCGGCGACCCACCTCCAATCCCTCTGGCTAGATCGACTTGTCGTCCTCCTTGTGAACAGCGACAATTGCTGAAGATGGCCTTCTGCAATGGGCATGTAGTTTCGAAGAATCTTGTACCAAGTTGATGATAATGGAGTCGACGAGTTAGCCGTAGTCGGACCTGCTATAGTTGTGGAGGACAAAAGATGGAGTGGACGAAGAAGATCCTTGTTTGGTAACATGCTTTAAGCGAGAATTTCTGTTTGGTTACAAATATTGCAAGTATTGGGAGATTAAATATCATATCCCGACCCGGGCCCCCACCACATCCCGGGCTCGACTTCACCGTAGCATGATATTGTCCGCTTTGGGCCCTGACCACGCCCTCACGGTTTTGTTTCTGGGAACTCACACGAGAACTTCTCAGTGGGTCACCCATCCTGGGATTGCTCTCGTGCGAACTCACGTAACTTCGAAGTTCCAATGGAACCTGAAGCCAGTGACTCCCAAAAGGCCTCGTGCTAGGTAGAGATAGGAATATATATATATATATATATATATATATATATATATATAAGCTTATAAGATCCACTCCCCTAGGCGATGTGGAATGTTACAATCCACCCCCCTTAGGGCCCGACGTCCTCGTCGGCACACTTCTGACCAAAGATTGGCTCTGATACCAAATTATCACATCTCGGGCCGGGCCCCCACCACATCCCAGGCTCGACTCCACCGTAGCACGATATTGTCTGTCTTGGGCCCCAACCACGCCCTCACGGTTTTGTTTCTATAAACTCACACGAGAACTTCCCAATGGTCACCCATCCTGGGATTGCTCTCGCGCAAACTCGCTTAACTTCGAAGTTCCGATGGAACCTGATGCTAGTGAGCTCCCAAAAGGCCTTGTGCTAGGTAGAGATGAGAATATACATATAAGGCTTATATGATCCACTCCTCTGGACGATATGGGATGTTACATTACAAGTGTTTTTTTAAGATGATTGGTCCACATAGTTTGGTAAGTAAATTGGGTCCTTCCTAGTGAGGACTCATGTCCTCACTAAAGAGGATTCACTTTTTACTGCCTATGATGTGGCCGACAAAAGATGGAGTGCACGAAGAAGATCCTTGCTTGGTAACACGCTTTAAGCGAGAATTTCTGTTTGGTTACAAATATTGCAAGTATTGGGAATATATAGGTGTTTTAAAATGATTGATCCACATAGTTTGGTGAGTAAATTGGATCCTCCCTAGTGAAGACCCAAGTATTGTCCACCGACCGAACCCACACGAGAACCTAGTAGGCTACCACCTCTCTCTCTCCCCCACACGATACATTGTCTTATAGGAAGATTGTGCAACTTTCCTCCGCATGGATTCAAATTTTTGTCACCTTGAGATTTTTCGAAATCTGATAAACAAATCTCAAATTTTGCATACGATGAATGCATAGAAGCAAGGCACGGTTCTGATATTTTTAAGGTTCGGAGCCACGTCCTAGTTGCATATAAAAAAATTATTTGTTTTTACACGTAAGATTTCGATAAAATTATACATAAAAAATACTTCAAACTTAATAATTTAATAACACGAAAATGTAATTTATTTTGCATTTAGAAATTCGTAAAAATGGAAAGAATAAACATGCACATTGCATTTTGAACTCCTGACCTCTCATTAATTTTAAACAATAGAAATCATTGCTTTTGATTAAATTTTTTTATAATTCGTAAAAATTAGAAAGTAAATAAAAACATAGGGCTTTGAACCCATGACCTCGTCATTAATTTTAGGCAACAAACTACTAATTCTAGTTAAAATTCTTGATCATTTAACCAAATTTTATAAATTTATACTCTTATGAAAACATATATGAATATAGCTCCCTAATAATTTTGGTGCTCTAATTTTGTTGGGCCCCGGACGGTTGCCCAACCCGAACTAGGCCAGGTCAGGCTTGCATGGAAGTTGATGCTCTAATTTTGTTGGGCCCCAGAAGGTCGCCCAACTCGAACTAAGCCAGGCCAAGCTTGCATGGAAGTTGGAGTTACAAATGATTGTCATAAGAGAAATGATAAAACACATTCTTATAACTTTTTACACATTTTTACTTAATTTTGGTTGTTGATTACGTTAGACTTAATCAATTCGATGACTAAAAATAAGGAAGGGTGGGTAACAAGCTAAAAATAATGTGTGAAAACCACTTTACTTATCAAAATCATGTGCAAATCAAACTATGGTGTTGAAATGTGCAGAATTCCATTAGTATAGTCTCATCTTTGAAATTGTATCAAAATCTCATCTTAACTTTGGTTTACACAAAGTCAATTTTAGAATGACTATTGACGAGTCTATTTTGATGTGTGAGATATTTCAAATGTTAGTTAGAGGTTCGAAACAAAAACCAATTGAAAATAATAAAATCATATAATGTTTTTTATTACAAACGATATTATTGTCCTAAACTATATTAAGAGGAGAAAAGAGATTTTGACCCTATGATCAAAGTTAGTGCTTTAGTTCAACTATCAACTGTCATTTGGTACATTGACTTAGTAATATTCATTTTCATTTGAATGGAAAATGTCTTATGTTCAATTCTCATAAATGTGGAGGTCGATACCAATTATTATTGTTAGTCTATCGGGTGACATAATCAAATTCCATATTAATTACTGTAAATATGTCATTGTATTAGAAAACCATGCACCCAACGTCACTACTTAATTTCGATTTGAAATGACCACTCAATGACCATTTGGTAACTAATTTCAATTTCTTTCAAAATCAAGCCAAATTTTGAAAGAAAAATGGGCTAACAAGCGGGAAGAATTTGTGTAGCTAATTAATATTATAATATAATGATATTTTTCTTCACTGGCACATAATAACAACTTTAAGTTCGATTATCAAGTATAACAGATTCAATTCCAATTTATTTCTCTACCTGTTTTAATGTAAACATGTCGTATTAAGAAAAATGGGGGGTTTATTGGAATGCAAGAAAGAGTTTGCTCATTAATCAGAGTCGTTGATCTTGTACTTTGTCGGTCCAAAGGCGATGATCATAAGTGAGGAAAAGAGACCAGTGGAATATATTATGAACGTTCTCTTTGTTTATTTACCACAAGTAGGCTGGAGTGGGTTACTTGCAGAGAGAGCACTGGGCAATATTCATGAGGGAAGAAGGGTAGAACAGAAACCCACTTCTCTGCGTTATCTCCTCCGATTAACCCCCTTCAAGTTATTTGTTTTTAGCTCTGGGTTTTGGAAATTTCGCGGTTTTAATTTTACTGATTTAAGTGTGTTCTTTTTCCATGGCAGCTCCATCTCTCTTTCTGGCGTTCGAGAGCTAAAGCTACCATCTTTTTTCAACAGGTAATTTTTTTGTGAAAATTTCGTTTTTAGTTGAAAGTTTGTGAAGGTGTAGGGTTTAATCACTTGCAAAGTCGTTTATTTATTTTCTATTTGTCAGATGTGGTTATTTGCTGCTTTTCCTCTGTTTGGTTTGTGAGAAAAAGAAAGAAAGAAAACAGATTTATTCAGTTTCATCATTTTCTTCCCTTTTTTTGTAGGGTTTATGCAAAAAAAATAATGTATCACACTTGTTGGGAGAATGGGTGCGCATAATGATTCAAAGGGTGTACGCAAAGTCACCCAATTCGATATTTGAAAGTTTTTGTTAGAAAGTATTGAAAGTCTCTGCATTTTATTTTGCTTATACAGATCGATCGACCATGTTGAGGGAATTTGTTGCTGCTCATTGGATGTTTGTGAAGTGTTTGTATAGAAAAAGTGTTGAAAAAAGATCTCTTAACGTGTGTCCAATGTTGGGTGTGAAATGTG